CTACTAACTCTCAGAGTAGACTGTTAGGTTAGTAGAATAAGTTGACATATACTTGCAAAGTTTCTCATAGTCAGTATGTTGTGGACCCATCAAAATAAAGTGTTAGAAGATATTAAGCAGACAGTCTACTAATACTCTAATGACTGCTACTTGACATGGAGTTACAAAGTTACTTACTGTTAGTAGAATGTCTAAAGTGGACTATCAAAATAAAGTGATACCAAAACTTTTTGCAGTAAAATGTCATACACACAGAAAACAATTATAATTTGCAGCAGCAAACTGAAAGTAAGTTATTAGCTGTTGGATAGGCTCATCAAACATCTGAATGAAAACCAGAACAATAAAAAACTACAAGACAGTAATCAATCACACAAAAATCATGACTGATTGTTCCAATGTTTTGTTATACCCTTATAGAGAATTTGCCAACTGAATCTCAAATTATTCTAACAGTCGAGATGTTTTAATTGCTTTGAGAGCAAGACTGTACAGGAAGAAATGTTTGGCGGATCTGTTGGGGTGTCTTATTTTCCAAAATATTTGCATAATAAGTTCACTGAGCATTATCCCAACAGGGATCTGTTAAAGTGGGCTAGCATGAAACAGTAAAACTCATTAGCGCAAATAAGCAAACCTAACTTCAATTCTATCATACAGAATTAATATAAAGGCATTTTATTAACAATTAGAGCCATCATGTTTTTCTATATCTTTTGCAGTTCTTTATATTACAGTTCAGATATGAACTCGTCTGATAGGTCCAAACATTAAGTGCATGACTGCAGAGCAGAACTGGGCCACTCGTCTCAGCCGCAGCGTTGACGAGCTCCTCTAACACTAATTGGACTGTATAATTAGAACAGTGCAGGCAAAAGTACAAAGCTGAGGGATATTAAAGGAGAAATCTGTGAACAAAATCTGTTGACTATGGCTTTTTTTTTTTTCTTGAGACATGAATATGAAAATTAACTGAAAACTATACTAATAGAGGTCAGGCCTGTTAAAGTGTCTGTCTTTTCACAGTGCCATTTTAGTTTCTTTATTCAAGGAATAAAAAGTTGAAAAAAAGGGGACATAAATTACACCTTCGTTGATGTGAGAATACATTGTGAGCAGTGAGAGTATCACAAAACTATTCACACTGCCAGAATGGAATAACTCTGCTCTCATTTAATCAGATAAAAGCAGAAGAGTAAAATCAGGCTACAAAAATGATGACAGTTTACTGCTGTGTGCAGGGTATAGGAAAAAGTTTTAAAAGGATCACATCAACAATACCTTTCATAGATGAATGTGTTGTATTTTCCTATTTAGTAACTTGTATTCTGTAAAAACTGAGTGGACAAATAATTATACGTTAAAAGGGAAATTAAATTAAACCTATGAAAACCTGAATACTTCTTGCGTTCTGCGTTGTAAAGACTCAGTCCATGTGACAGCTTAATGATCAAACAAAGAGTATCATTGTTAAAACACAAGTTAGAATCAATTCTTTGATACAAAGTTGAAGACGAGTTTTTAAAGTTGTCAGATCTTATTAATAAACAATAATGTGTTACTCAATTAGCTCAAATGAAAAACACTGCAGCTGAAGTAATTAGTGATTAATTTGTTAAATTCAGTGTGATTTGCCACCATTTTGCTTCCATATGTGGCCCTTTTTTTTGAAAGCAGGATAGATAGATAGATAGATAGCTAGATAGATACAGTAGATAGACAGAAAATATAAATTGTGCATTTTTTACTTCATAACATGCAAATGTTTTAAATAAATGCAATGAATTTCTTAAAATTAAATGTTCTAAAACATTCAAATTGACTACAGTCATAACAACTTTTGCTAAAAGCAATTAATTGTTGATGCCAACCAGAGTTACTTGATGTATTGTCACTGATTTCAGTTTCATTACAAGGACCTCTGGGATTGTTTCCTCACATACATTTGATTCTTTCTTACCAAACTGTTGCTCGCTGCACCCATCGGACAAACAGGTCAAAGCTAGTCTGTAAAGGAAGGAGTCAACAGATTGAGTCCAAGTCACATGCAATAGCCACAAAGTCCTCAAAAGTGTAGACCAAATCTTGAATGTTATTATTTTTTTGATATTATTATACATTTTGAGTAGACCAGTATCATACAATACCTGAATTATTACCTTTCATGCTTTGAACAATGTGGGGAATTGCTACACTTTGCAAATTTGCATTGAATTCAAAAGAAAAATCAGAAGTGACATGGCAATCTGTGTCCTTCATCCAGCGTCAATCACCTAAATTGAACAGGTCAGTTACTAAAAATCCAGACCCATTTCACCCAGCATTAGATTGTCTTAAAATGTTTTATCTGCTTTTGGTCACATGATAATGATGTATTCGGCTCACAATAATCAGGGTCAGAGCGTTGATGAGCTGCCAGATTGTGTAGGAAAAGTCAATTTCTGTGATGAGGCTAATCAACAGTCTAGATCATCACCGCCACTGCCATCATCGTCATTAACAATAAAATAGCCACTTTTTCAGTGCAAACAAAAACAACAAATTATCAATCAACACTGAAGGATGAAACAGGAAGAAAAATGCACTGGTGGATTGGGTGTGATGTGCGTGAGTTCTTTGTATTGTGTGTGCTTTGGTGGATGGTGGACATAAAAAAGTACAAATAAAAAAAAATATATATATAAAGAAAAATTTAAAATGTAACAATTATATATAACTTTGACTGTTGATTTATAAACAGCCAGATCAGTCAAGAATGAAGCCTGAGGCATATTGGCCTGAGGCATCAGGCAAAAATAAGTGCCATTATGCAGTTATTATCATTACAATTATGTTGGCCAATTAAATGTCTGATTCTTAAATACGGTGACTCTTTGCTGGCTGTACCAGCGTGAGGTTTCCTTTTCATGGCCAGATTGTAAAGCTTACAATACACATGGTCAGAAGTCCAATCATCACATGGTCATGTAGTATTAAAGTTTCAGGCACTAGCATCATTCTTGCAATAAGTTTGAGCTAAACATTGTGTAATTGTCTGACTTTTAAAGACCAATTACAATGTTCAAAGACAATCGAATGTAGTCAATTCAAATGTATACTCTATGCTGTAAACAGGTAAGTCGTCCTAACTGAACTGTTTGAAATGGCACATTTTGCAATAAAACTACAAATGTGTGTGTTTCTGAAACTTCTTTGGCTTCAAAGTCCATAAAATTAAGAATTTAAATCCTAATAACTCAAAACAAACAAGTATAAAACTGAGCCAAGGGGAATACCCATGAGCACTTGTGCTTGAATAATTTAATTATGCATCATTGGTCAAAGCAAAGCAGATTATGTGGACATGTAGTAGTTTTTTAATTATGCTGATGTTGTTTCATTACAGTTGAGAATCGAGTTTTGAGAGAATTCGCTGTTAGGATGATAAGTTTTCCTCTGGTGATCTTGGGCCCTGTTGATTTCTTCCCATACACATACGTTATTAAAATATATATTTTATTATTAAACATATTTTGAATTCATAATAATATTTTACTTATATTTCCGTTTATCACATACATATCTAAATATAAAATTCTAAATGCATAAACATTCTCATTTAAGCTGTACTTGATCTTTTTAATCACAAATCGGAGTTAAATCAACAGTATGCAAGTTTTATTCATTTACTTATGTATTTAACCTTGAAATATCAGGTTTTAAATCATTCTGATGATACACTGACTTCTAATAAGGCTCGAAATGTCTGGGAGTATGTAAGGTTGGAGAATGGGTAAAAAAGTCTGTGCAAAGGGCGAATTGCTTTATGGAGGAAACAAATGCATGTGTACAGATATCCACTGTGATAATGACAGTGATATATTTATGATACGGAATTTCGCAAAAACACACAAGTCTATCATACAAGTTGCTGTAGTGTTCACTTAAATGGTTAAGATCAGTATTTAAGACTATTAGAACACCATAGGTGAACTTGATGGCTTGAGTTTGCAGAGAATTAATTTGGGAGAAACAAGTTTCCTCCAATAATGTAAGTACATTTAACCCATTAGGAGAAAATTGAGGAAGCGAGACAGTTTGTGTGATTAGCCAACTGATGCATAGCCTGTCAAAAACGCGGATTTCCTCCTGTCCTGTCATCATTTTAACAAACTGTTTCTTTAAAATCATTGATGTATCTGTCAGTAGGTATGTTTCCAGACTAGGCTTACCAATTAGCTAATGCTGTTGTCAGAGGAAACAATCCCACTTTTGAAGCTCTCTCAGTATTCAAAAAGTCGTCTTCCTAAACAATCCAACACTACTTGTGACAGCCGAGCGCATTTAGATCAGTAAAAGCCGCCATCGTGTTGACGCTCTGAAGTCATCATCATCATTACGGTGGCTATTAAAGCAGTCCGTGGGCTCTTTATCTGCATGTTGTGAGGCTCGTGGGAATTGATCAGGACTGGATTGCAACAGACTTTTCACAGTTGATTTATAAGTCCTAGGAAAGTAATAAAAGGTGCCCACTCAAGCATTTGAATCCAATTATCTTTCACAGAATGCTGTTGTTATCCAATTAAAACTCTCTCTGCTCATGAGAATAATAATAAGTTATTTTCTTTGTTTTTGACAGAGGTGATTTATACTAAATGTTGCACACTCTGTGTTCATTGTCGATCTGGTATAAATATTAGGTGAAACTTAAATACTACAGGCTGTGAAAACAGAAATCAAGTTTCGAGTAGAGAAATGATCAGTTTAGTATGAAAGATGTCATCCTAAACCAGCCGGGACATTGAATCGGACGCTTTTGTAGCTGCTGGAAATGGACGAAGATGCAATAGAGGCACACTTTACTTATCTGGAATCATGAATTTTATTACGCAATAGAAAATATACACCAGGGAAAATAGCTTCCTTTATGAGTTCTTGTTTTTTTTCTCAATTTTACACTTTTTCTTCAAAAATCAACTTCCACTTGTAGAGGCCAGTGAAAAACAACAGTCAAATAATCCCACAGCAAAACTGGATGACAAAAAAAAAAAACTTCAGTCTTCACTGCAGTCCCATTTGACCAGACAACAGGGAAACGACACACAACTTCTGGTTTACAGAACATGCGCAGTCATTATGGGACGTGCTGCTGGCTTTTCTCTTCAAAGACTCTGCTCAGTACTTGTACCTCAGGACCCCATTTGTCTACCTCACTGAGGTCCAGCTCCGTCTGGGGCTCCGGCAGGTCCAGTGAGCTGATGGAGCCGGATGGGGAGCCGCGGCCCTCGTAAGCGTAAGTCTGAAGAGAATCGTACGGAGGGCCGCTCGTGTCCCGGTCTGCCTCAACAACCTTGAGCTTAATCACCTCATGGATGTCCTCGTCTGGTAAGGTCAAAGCCGGGCTGAGAGCCTCGGTCCCCATTGCTCTCCACACTTCTGACTGCAGGTCCTTCCTCATCCTCATCTCCTCGGCTGCTGCGGGGTTCCTCAACGCCGCTATGTCAAAGGCCTCTGTGTCTTCCTCGCCTCCGCCCTCGTCATCGTACGTGACTACGTTCTCTCTGATATCCTCCGCCGACATGATCAGAGGCTCCTTTTTGCTCTTCTTGCTACGCAGAGTGACAAACAGAACCACGATGGCTACAAGAGAGGAGACACAAGCTTAGTTTGTTCATCCATGTAAATGGTGATGTGAATTAGCTTCACTAACATCGGGAGTTAGCGACGTATCGCTTGGGCGTACAAAATGAGGAGTGCAATCATCTGCTTGCTGACATTTTCATATGGGGAAAAGCTTTGTCTGGGCAAATAATCACTTAATCACTCATGTGCTGATGTGAAATCAATGGCGTTTTGCCATAAATAGCCATGAGCCTCTTTCAAACAGATTCAAACAGATTAGCCCTGTTCCAAACAGCTACCTTTTAAGGCAGCAACAGCAATCATTAACTAAAACATAATAATAATTTAGCCGAAGCAACATTTCTCATTTTTGTTTAGTTTAACTTTAAGTACTAAAATAACTCAAATGAAATAAACTAAAATGAATAAATACTAATTTATAACAAAACAATATATACATATATATATATATATATATATAAAATAACAAAAGCTATGATAGTATATCAGTGATACTAAAATAACACTGGGTAGCACTAAATGGACCCTCATAAGCAGGGTTATTATAGAAAACTGAAACCACAAAAACAAATAAATTATTTTCTCTTTAATACAGATGATGCCAATGTATTTCTCGATGAGTCCGCTATGTTAGAAATAATAACGTTACCTGCTTGACGGAAAGGGTTGCCAGGTTTTTACAACAAAACCCGCCTAATTGCTACTCAAAAGTAGCCCAAACTATCCGTGTTTCGAGGGGGTCCCTGGTAAAAATCACGTTCCGGAGGCTAAAATACACATTATTGGGGTCACTTCAACCCGCGGCAACAGTGATAAAGTAGTCCAATTCCACGGGAAAACCGCAGACTTGGCAACACTGTGACGGATAGTAATGTCTACAACGGACACGAGTCACGACCACCGTCGCGGCACAACCACAACAGCTTGAAGTTGTCTAATTTGGCACGGTCTCCCTGCTGCACTAATAGTAAGGCTTTCCTCTGTGTATACATATCCTTACAAGTACAATTTTAGCTGTATTATTTGTGTCCCCTTCAAAAATTGCTCTTGAGAAATTTTATGTTTATTGTCCCCCCCAACTGTTAGACGAAATTTACGCCCCTGCTTATATTTAAATATATTATTAACAACACTTCCTGTCTGTTCAGGTATGTGCACGTTACAATTGTTGTTCCAGGTTTCAGCCCACACAGTTGTGCAGCATTCCTGAGTAGTGTCTATATTTGGCCTTGTCAGTGGACTGGAGTGAGAGAGGGGTTTTCACACATTCTGCAGGGTGAAACTTCTCATCCACAACCAATAAATTTCAAGCAGTGTTTCTCAGGATGTCAAGTAAAAGAAAGCAGCATAGAACATCTTGGATATACATCATCTCACAAATCCTTAGATCCTTATAATAAATGATCCACAACCATGTCAGTCTGTCTGTCTACAGTATCTATCTATCTATCTATCTATCTATCTATCTATCTATCTATCTATCTATCTGTCTATCTCTCTCTCTTTCTCTGTCTGTCAAGAAACAATGTGAAAAAATTAGAAGAAAACAAACAAAACAAAATATCTATCTATCTATCTATCTATCTATCTATCTATCTGTCTGTCTGTCTGTCTGTCTGTCTGTCTGTCTGTCAAGAAACAATGTGACAAAATTAGAAAAAAAAAACAAACAAAACAAAATATCTGCCTGCCTGTCTGTCAAGAAACAATGTGAAAAAATTAGAAAAAAAAGAACAAACAAAATATCTGTCTGTCTATCTATCTATCTATCTATCTATCTATCTATCTCTCAAGAAACAATGTGAAAAAATTAGAAGAAAACAAACAAAACATATATCTATCTATCTGTCTGTCTGTCTCTCTGCCTGCCTGTCAAGAAACAATGTGAAAAAATTAGAAAAAAACAAAATATCTATCTATCTATCTATCTATCTATCTATCTATCTATCTATCTATCTATCTATCCGTCCGTCCATCCGTCCGTCCATCTGTCAAGAAAGTGAGAATAAAATAAAGAAAATTATTACTAAAAACCCTACAAAAATATTTAAAAAATAAAATTATTGAAGACTCACTCAAATTTAAATTGAAAGAAAGAAAGAAAGAAAGAAAGAAAGAAAAATAATAATTTTACTTCTGGATTCAGAACTTTGGACCCTTTCGTATGTGTCTGCTCTTTCCCTAATGGCAAATTCATGAAGGAAAGAATCAAGTTCTTCTCTTGGCTGTTGTGTTTTCAGTCTTACCCAAGAGGATGAGCACGCACAGCAGGATGGCAATGAGGGCTCCGGTGCTGAGACCGGCCGAGGACAGGAATGCTTGAGCCCTGCACACTGGCGTCCTGGCCCCGTGCTGGCATGGACACACCCTGAGCGTAAGCGTGCTGGTGCTGCTGAGGACGGGCTCTCCTCCATCCCACACAACCACGGGCAGCTGGTACAGCTCCTGTTCCGCCTGGCTGAAGCCTTGCCTACGCGCCAACACGCTCGCGCTGCTATCTGTCACAGAGAGCAGTGGTTTATTCTCGCTGGCTGCATGCATGATGACGCCGTGCAACAGAGGCCAACAAAACAATTCGCTTCCCATTCTCGGCAGTTGCCTCTGAGAATGGAGAACAGCTTTTTGAATATTGCATTCTGTTATTTCATTTTCAAGCTGCCTGATATGGTTTTGGATTCTTCACTGTTGAAATGACAACAGTGATAAAACTGCAGCCACAGCACTATGATAAAAGACATTCCACTATGCATAATTTTTGGTGTATATATCAGTCAAAAGTTAAGATTAATACTTTTATTAAGCAATGATGCATTAACCTAAAGATAAAAATCTAAAGTTACAGTGACTCTTAAAAAAGCTGTTCATTGAACTTTCTATTCATCAAAGAATCCTGTATCATTTATCATGGTTTTTGCAAAAATATTAAGCAGCACAACTGTCTTCAGCACCAAATCAGCATATTAGAATGATACAATCATGTGACACTCCTAAATAATTCAGCTTTGCCATCACAGGAATAACTTATTTTACATTTACTTTTCGTCACCTTGGAATTATAAGGTTCTATCTCAAATGTTTTATTAAAATTGGGTTATTCACATATTCTTATTCCGTGACAACTTTTTTTTTTTTAATTGTGTACATTCTGGGACTTTTTTAATTAAAAAACAAAACAAAAAGCATATGATGTCTACATAGTATATGGAATGCAAAAACTTTGAATCTCAACATCTCAAAACCGCTCAGAATGCAGATAGAACCTAATAACTCCAAGGTGGTGATTTATGCCTTCAGCAGATGCTTTTATCCAAAGCAACTTACAAAAGAGGAACAAAATATTTAAAATAAATTAAAATAGAAAATAGTTATATTAAATTGTAATATTATTTCAAAATATTACTGTTATTACTCTATTTTTGATCAAATAAATGCAGCCTTGGTGATCATAAGAGACTTATTTTAAAAATATATAAAAAATGTGTTTCACTTTATTTTGATTTTTCCATTAACACATTCTGTTGACTATAAGTAACGGTGCACCTACATATCTACTAAGTCTCACTAGAGTGTTAGTAGACTGGTAGGGTTAGGGTTAGATTAAGTTGGCATGTACTTGCAAAGTTACTTATAGCAAAATCCATTTCAAGGAAAGTCTGTTCACTCGGCGGCCATATTTGCAACGCCTCCGGGCTGCTCAAACAAATCTAAATAAATGGGGGAATCCTGAAATCTCAAAAACTGCTCGCTGAAGTCGCAATTAAATTACATATTTCAAATCAGCAACAAAATCTGAAATGAACCACCCGATGAATGTTGTTTCTTATGCTCAAATAGCATTAAAAAAGCTTATTTTTCAAGCTAGACCTGCCAATGCGTATGCAGTTTTATCGCGCTTATGAATACGCATGCGCATCGCTGCTCTAGCCTCAGGTTTCTATGGGAACCGAAGCTTCTAATGGCTGCTGCAGTGACGCAATGACTTTACCAATCAGCAATTGGCTCTTTCATTTAGAAGGCAGGACTATTTCACCATATTGCGCATTGCAGTTTCTCCCATTCATAGATATAGGAGTGAACCGTCTTTGTATTTCTATACTCTTTGCTTATAGTCAGTAGAATGTCTGTTGGGAGACCATCACAATAAAGAGGTAGCAGATATTAAGCAGACAGGCTACTCATACTCTAATGGGAGATATTTGACATGTAGGTGCAATGTTACTTATTGTCAACAGAATGTTCAAAAGGGACCCTCAAAATAAAGTGTTACCAAAAAATGTTCCGACCACAAACTATTGGACATATAAATAATGTAATTTTACAATAGCTTCAAATTTGGTTAATCCAATCAGAATTTAGAATCAGAATTATGAGTTTTATAAATACATTTTTAAGCTAGAAACGCAAAACAAAAAAAATGTGTTTATGTTTTCTGATCCATATTGGCCCATCTTTACTTGTGTCTGATAAAAAAAACAAAAAAACAACAGTTTGCTTTACTGCTGTACCTCCCCAACAGGAGTGTTGGAGCACCGGTGTGCTGACAGCATGTAAACCCCACACAGTGACAAAAGCATCATGCTTTATTAACTCCCCACAGTGCTCCAACTTTTCTCATTTTTGAGAGGCTTGTGCAAATTTTTTCACCTTCTTTCTAGCTGTCGCTGCCTTCCTTTCTCACATACGCACACACCCACAGACAGGCAGGTCGTAAGCACCTCAGCGTATGCACGGTCATGCTGCTGCTTCACATTGCAGATGTGTGTTGAGCTAGTGTCTTCTGACTCTGCAGCCTGGGAGGGTTTGAGGGGGTTTGGGTTGCAAGATGAATTCCGTCTCCCTCTGAATACCAGCTCCCAGGAGAGCAAGAGTGTGGGTTTGGGTTTAACATCGGTAGGGGCATTTTAATATCAATCATGCTATACAAATGCACCTCTGGGCAAATTGCCTGCAACAACTCATCAGGGTTTAGACAGAGTATTTACTTTATTTATGTATTTATCCACAACCTTTTGTGTACGGCTGTAATGTCTGTTTTGTGTTTTGTTTCATGTTCTTGTTTTCATGTCTTTTATTTTGGAGTTTAGTCATGGTCCCTGTTTAGTCATGTGATTCCCTTGTCTGTGTGTTATGTTCTGATTGGTTCCTTGGTTCATGTGTCCTGTCTCTCATTGGTTGGTTCTTGTCATGTGACCTGTATTGTTTGCTATAAGTAGCCATCATGTTGCCATTGTCTCTCGTCATGTATTGATGTTGTAACCTGCTGTCGGTGAGTCTAGTCTGTTCATGCCAAATCTAGTCTGTTCACGTCAAGTCTGTTCATGCCGAGTCAAGTCTGTTCAAATCAAGTCTGTTCAAGTCATGTCAAGTCTCTGTTTGGATTATGTTTGTATTTTGGATTACTTTTTGAAAAACTGCACATGGGTTCTTAAACTCGCCTACAGTGGACTGTTTGTTGCAGAATACACAACCACAAAATGAACCCAGCAGATCGTCTCGTTCGACTTCGCCAAGGAAGCCGGCCTATTGAGGATTATGTGGCAGACTTTTGTAAGTTTTGCAATTTGGTGGACTTTCATGACACTTTGCTGAAAGACATTTTTCGTTTTGGTTTGGTTAAAAACATATCACATTTAATGCCACGCAATACCCCTCAATGGACTCTTGAGAAATATATAGACTATGCATTGCGATTGAGTGGCTCTGCATTTACTGTGGGGGTTGCTGATGAAGAACACAGCTATCCTACAGTACCTGCCACAACAGAACTTCTTCACATCCCGACCGTCATGTCTGGAGTTGTTCACGTCACGCCTGCTACTCCAGGGTCTGCTCACGTCACACCTGCC